CAAGGTGCCGAGGCTGGGATCTACGGATCCAATGCCTGAGAATTAGATGGTGGGGGGGGGGCGGGAGTACCCCGAGAAAACCCACTTTCACTAGTCGGGACCAAATAAAAGCCCGGCTAGTGCCCAAATTCAGTGAGGTGATGAGAACCTGAAATGATACTGAATAATGTATTGATTAGGCAAAAAAAAAACAAAAAACAGTAAGTTGTGAGTATTTCTGTTGATTTTTTGTAATATTTGACGGCTAGTTTGGAGATGCGGTCTTGCATAGTGTGTAGTGAAGTGTGTTTTTCGACGTAGCATGCGGGTGTGTTTTGAGGGAGTCGGTAGGCAAATCGTATTACTTTGTTTTGTAGCTTTTGAATGATTTTCTGTTGGTTATTATTCATGTTACATGTGATCATTGCGCCGTAATCTAATAATGGTCTAATAAATGTTTTGTAAATGTACATGATTATTTGTGGTCTACAACCGCGGGCGTGGTGACTGATTTTGCGGAGGTAAGCTACTCGTGTTTTGATTTTCTTATAAATTTCTTTAAAATGCGTGTGCCAGGTTAATTTAGAGTTTATGGTTATGCCTAGGAATTTGGCGGATTTAGTGAATGAAATTGGGTTATTGTATAGGTTTAATTTAGCTAGCTTGACACGTTTGAGTCTTTTGTTTAACCTGCGGTAGAGTATTATTGCCTGTGTTTTGGTAGGATTAAGTATTATTCTCCACTTGTTGCACCACTGTGTGATTTTGTCAAGGGCTGTTTGTACTTTCTTTGCTGCTAGTGGGGGAGGGGGGTCCAGGAGATGCTCCATAGGGCTATATCATCAGCATATTGTGAGGCGTGCGTGAGGGGAGTGGTTGGCTGTGGTAGGTCGTTAACGAAGAGTGTGTACAGCAGAGGGCTTAAGACAGACCCCTGCGGTATGTACCTGCGTTAAACGTGAATGGTTGTGAGACTGAAGTGTTTATTTTAACTTTCGCCGTTCTATTGTATAGGAAGTTGGAAATCCATTTAGTGAAAGTTATGGGTATTTGGTATTTAACTAGCTTGTATTTGAGCCCGTCGTGCCAAACCGTGTCGAAAGCTTTTTTTACGTCTAAGAATGTGGCAATAGTGGCCTGTAGTTTATTAAATCCTGTAAATGTGGTTTCAATTAGTCGAACGAGGTGGTCAGCAGTCTGTCTGTTTTTGTGACCCGCGTTCTGGATGTGTGATAATGTATTGTTGTTTTCTAGCACCCATAATAACCTTGTCGTTATAATTTTCTCTAGAAGTTTGCCAGTGCAGTTAATTAAGCTTATGGGTCTGAAATCGCTTGGATTTGTTGATTGGGTGCCTTTTTTGGGGATAACTGTGATAAGAGCTGACTTCCATGCATGGGGGAGATAACCCGAGAAAAGTGACAGATTGTATATGTTGGTGAGATGTGTCAGAAGTTTGGGTGATGCGTTTTTTAGAACTATGTTGGGGATTTTGTCATCGATTAATTGTCTGGCACACTTATATACAAGAATAGAGGGCGCCTAACAAATACTGGATTATTGGTGATGTTCCCCGATCTTTCTATAACTCATTGCGTGTTACCAGCGTCACGTGACTTCCGCTGTCGTAACAATATGATGCAAAACATAGAACACTGTAATCTTTTCATATGGTCTCAGGTTAAAGCCAGATAATAGCCAATCAGATTTTTGCCTGATTTGTAGACAATTTTTTCTTACCTTCTATTCGACCAAGAAATTTCATCCGAGTATGAATAAGCACAAACATTCTCAGATAAAGTTTTCAAGCTTATGTTTTTAATCAAACAAAGTGCTATTCTCAGATTTTCAGCAACATTTTGAAACATCTGGCCAAAAACTAGAATATTATCTACATACCTATATTCTATTGTGGTTCTCTCTGTGCAAGTTCTATCAGTTTTTAAGAAAAGTTGGTGCATTATTCAGGCATAACAAAAAGAAAAAGTTAATACGAGCCATCTCAACACATGTTCTTATCTTCCAGTTCTACTTGTCAGTACTTAAATGACACATTTAAGATGATGAACTAACAGTCGCCTTCTAGAGGTTATAATGAATCTTCTGCTCATAGTAAAAGAGAGACATCAATATGTGCAGAAAACGAAAAAGATGGTAACCTAATGGTGCCATATCTGGAGACTATGAGGGGTGGGGGAGAACTTTCCAACACAACTCCATAATCTTATGTTGCGTCAAACGTGCCACATGTGTACGTGCATTGTTCTGGAGAAGAAGAAAACCTTTCCGATTGACGAGTGAAGGGCGTTTCTGATGAAGGGCTTGATTTAAATGTTCCAGTTGCTGACTATGGATCTCTGCACTGACAGTTTGCTGTGGATTGAGGGGTTTGAAATGAATTACTCCTTTGATGTCCCACCAAATGTAAAGCATCACTTTCTGTGGATGGAGTCCAGGTTTTGGTGTCGGAAGTAGTTTTCGTCTAGGATTGAGCCATTGTTTTTGGCATTTAATATTCGCATAGAGAATCCATTTTTCATCACAGGTGAAAATTCTGTCCAAAAATGGTTAACACGCATTACGCGCCAGAACTAGTAACTTTTTATGACAAAATATTAATGGAAAATATTTTTTTTTTTTTTTTTTTTTACAAACGAAATACGAAATAATAGGTTTTGGGTGTGTAAAGAAACTACAAAACATTTCCGACGTTGTAACTAGAGAATAAATAAATTGATGTTATACATTGTCCTCGATAAATTCCTTTCGTTAGTCCCCAGTTAAAAGAAAATTTAATATAAATCGTACTTTCATTGTTTTGACTAATATTTATATATTAAAACAGTTACAACATACACTAATGATTAAAAAATTAACAAAACGTGAGTACACCACTAGTTTCGGAAAGCCAAGTATGTCACTCTCACGCAAATTTGTCAGGTCTCTTATCTGTTTCTAATTCATTAATCATTTGCACATTATACATATTATACTGTTATGTTATTAGTATTTGTTATGAACTTGCACGAAGTATTTATTTTCCGTAAGTTTTCAAAGTTTTTTTTATTTCAAATCGGGTTTTCTTAACAGCTGAGATAATTTTAGAAAATAAAAGAAATCGGAAACGTTATATAGGTTTCATATCGATTAGAAATTACTCTCGACGTTGTTGAGTGAAAATTGGCACTTGTGTGTTTAGCTAACAACACAGAGTAGTAATAGTAATAATACTTTTGTGAAGTCAGAGATATTAATATTAAAATAACATGATGAAGAATAGGAATGTTTTAAAAGTTTTTGTTAGTCTTCTCGTCGCTTTTATACTGTCTTTGACTAAAGCAGCCACTAGTACTAAATACACAGACTGCGGTAAGTTTTCAACTTATTAAAACTTTTTAAGTTTAACTGAGATTTTCTTTTGAAACTTTTGTGATCACTAATAAGTTTTACCCTAACTTTAAGTTTAAAATTAGTTAAAATTACTTAAATTAGTGTTGTGCTGATGCTGAAGTTTAATTTAATTACTATTGCTAGTATTATTAGTATTACTAATAATAATACTATACTCTTAACTGAGTCTAACTGTGTAGTAATACATACTAGTAGTAGTGTACAATGTACAGTACATAGCATGGTTATTGAATTGAAATTTATGTAACGAACTGTAATAAACGTTTGCCTTTATGATATCTACAATATCAGAAAAATGTGTCAAAGTTCTAAATAGATAATCTCTATTATGTCATAAAATTGTGTATTAATTTTTATGGGTCTGGTTTAAATCTGAGACTGCTGAAACTATGAACTATAATCTTTACCATTTGAAGAGACTAAAGCTTAGCTAGCTAACTGCTGATCTTTCTCTTAATAAGAACTAAAATGATATCATTAAACAATTTTTAAACATTGACAGTCTTTACATAAAAAATGATCCAATACACGTAAGCATTTTTATATTTTAAGTAAAACCTGTCGAGTTGAAGTAATCTGTATTGAGTGATAACACATTGCAGCTGTCCCATTCATTATGTAAACACCAATCTGATTCTCTAAGTAGTCATCAAGTTGGGACACACTATTTGCAATGTGCTGGTCATGGGATCAAAACCCATCACCAAACATACTTGACCTTTCAACTGTGAGAGTATTATAATGTGACAGTCCATTTGACTATTTGTTGGTAAAAAGTAACCCAAGAGTTGGCAGTATGTGGTGTTGACTAGCTCTCTTCCATCTAGTCTATTACTTCAAAATTAGGGATGGCTAGTGCCAATAGTTCTTAAGTAGCTTTGCGTGAAATTGAACAAACAAACTTCAGTCAGATCTCCCTCTAACTTCTCCTGTGACCCAGTTTGCTTGAACTATTATTATTCTTTTTCATTTTTTGTTTTCTAACCTAATAAGTTTCTAATTTTTACATTTTAATTGCTTTTGTTAAAAAAATAGTATAACAATAAGTAAAAGATATAAAAAAATAAAACAACAACAAATTTTAGACTTACACTAAATTTGAAACCTATTTCAGTACTTTGTATTCAAGAACATACACCTTTATCTCTAATTCTTTCATACTGTGTTTGTTTTCCAAGTGTAACAATGTTATTGAAGAAAAGGCTCTTGGGGTAGTAGTTGATCAGTCTCTTAAGCCATCCAAGCAGTGTGCTGTTGCTAGTTGGTCGAATCTGATTTGAGAGTGTATCAACAGAAATATTGAATGTAAGTCACTAGTTAGGCCACATTTAGAGTATTGTGTTCAGTCTTGGGCTCCTTACTTTAGGACAGACATTGAATTGTTTGAAAGGGTTCAGAGGAGGACTGCTAGGATGATACCTAGGGTGGAAAGGTTGTCATACAGGAGAGGTTAAAATCTCTAAAATTATTTTCCCTTCAGCAGATGCAAATCATTACGTGCTGACAGAAAGTCTGCCAGAAGGACGAAACATTATCTTTAGAAGAGGTATAGTGAATCCAAAGAGTATCTAGATTATGTTCAGTACAAAAGTCAACTTAATTGTATGACAAAAGAGCTATGACAGACCAAGAAACAATCTGAATGAAAACAAGTCTTATTGCAGATATGTTAACTCTAAATCTAAAACCAAAAAACAGGTGGGCCCAGTTGCTGAAGATGATGGTAATGTGGTCACAGATGAAACTAAAACAGCTAATATTTTATATGAATAATTTAACTCTATCTTTACTGAAGAAATACTTGATAATATACCAGATCCTGTATGAACTTTTATTGGTTGTTTGGAGCAATAGATGAAAAATGTTGATCTATTACCATAAATTGTCCAAAAATAGCTCTGTAATTGGGAACTTGGTATCAACAACTTATTCTCTTCAGTTTTTAAGGAAGTGGCAGATGAATTTAGTTATCCTCTTAGTGAAATTTTCAATGCAAGTATGGACTCATCTGAAGTCCTGCTGGAGTGGAAAAATGCTAATGTTTCACCTTTGTTCAAGAAGTGCTCTAGAAAACTTCATTCAAATTATAGATCTGTTAGCTTGACAAGTCAAATATATAAAACTACTTGAATCTATTATCAAGGATGCCAATATTTTACATTTAGAATCAGTTTTACTAGTGGGAGATAATGTTTAACTAATTTACTTACTAAGAAGTGACTAAATACATTGAAGGTTACCTAGTAGATATGATTTATCTGGGCTTTTGATAAGGTTCCCCCATGCCAAATTACATAAGAAGCTTTATGTAAATGGAATATCTTCACAAGTGGTTAATTGGATCCAAGAATGGTTATATAATCATTAACAGGTAGTTATTATAAATGGCACAGCATCTGAGTAGGTTTCTGTTAAAAGTAGTGCCTCAAGGGTCAGTGCTTGGCTCCACCTTGTTTTTTATTTATATTAATGACATTGATGTAAATGTCTGAAGTAGGCTTTCAAAATTTGCAGATGATAAAGTTTATTGTAGCTGATACAGATTGTCTACAAGATCTTCAGAATATATTAAATCGGTCAATTGAGTGGTAGGAGCTTTTTAATCCAGAAAAGTCTATGTTTACATTTGGGGTTCAACAATGAACAATATGACTATTTTCTTGGAAACAGTGTAATTAAATCTGTTAACCTAGGAGTGATTATCCACAAATATCTGAGTGCTAGCAAATAATGTGCTAAAGCTGCAAAAGCTACAAATCAGGTTTTAGGTAGGATTATAAGAACTATTCAAAATAAGAAATGTAACGTGATGCTTAAGTTGTACAAATAATTTATTAGACCTCACCTATAACAATTATAGTGTCCGTATCTTCAAAAACATGTAGACCTACTTGAACAAGTTCCGAAAAGAATATCTAAAGTGGTAACAGGTTATCGTAATCTTTGTTATGAAAAGAGATTACTGAAACTACACCTTACTACACTTGGAACCTGTTGTTTAAGGAGTGATTTACTTGAGTCCTTTAAAATTTATAGAGGCCTAGAAGGATTAAATGTTGTAGGTTTCTTTATAGTTAATAATTCCATAACTAGAGAACACCAGTATAAAATATATATGCAGAGTTCCAGATTGGATTTAAGGAAGTTATTTTTCTTTCAAAGATGAATGGAATAATCCTCCAATTGAAGTAGTATCTATGAGCAGTGTAAATGCACCTTCAAAGATACTTGAGACACAAAGGGGGCTTATATGAGCCAGCACATATATTCTTTATGTTTAAACTGTTCAATAGCAATGTGAGAGAGAACTATAGAAGTAGGAATATGTGTCATTTGACTTTAACAAGAAGATTTGGCATTCAGACTTTATACTCTCACTTCTCAAATCTGATTGTTGGAATGTTTTCCTGTTTAAATACTTTATTTCAGTTAGGATTCTAAACATACATACATTTAATTTTACATAACTAATGCTAATTTACATGATTTGATATTTAAAAAAAAAACAATTTTGTTTAAAATGTGAATCATTTAATATTGTTTTGGTTGTTTATCAAAGAGAAAATTGACAGTCAGTTAGCTAAGCTTTATTCAATTCACTAAGTAAAATTCATCATTCTGGCTGATCTTTCTACCCACTATCTATTTTTAAATTTTCAAAGCTTTGTAAAATTGATGAATACTCTGTGTAAGTCACATATCTATGTCTAGAAGTTTGTATTACTCATTCTTTAAAGCAAAATTATACATATTGCTCAAAGTTTATCAATTATAATGATAGTTACATTTTACAATTTTTTTCCAATATAATTGAAATGTTAATGGACATTTAGTGTCATTGTATTAAAATAAACTCAATTCTTATTTGTTTTGTACTTTAAGTAAAAAGGGTTTAGTATTTATATGTAAATTCATAATTTTTCAGAAAGTTAATCAGATCTTTTATATTTAGTTTTAACCCACCCTTGGGTTGAAGCCAGAAAATCAGTCTTTGCTTTTTTTTTATACTTGAATATTCTTATTGTATAAAATAAGTTTTATTTTTGTAGAGATTTTTGGGAAATATGTTTTTGTTGTTGGAAAGATAAATTTATTAATAACTTAAAGGCTTTGCTTTAGAGTTTGAGTAATGCAGATGTATAAAAGATAAGATTTTCGCCATTAGTTTAAGAGAACCTCAAAAGTTTGTACACACAGTCAATACTAGGGAACCAGAGGTACTTAGGAAAACCTTATGTTATTTAGCCATGACAAAAAATCTTCAAAAACCTTGTGCATCTTTCCTCTGTAGTGTAAAGTTATGGATGAATAAAAATTGAGAAGGATTAACAGTTTTAGTGGACTGGACTACTTATAAAGTTCATCTGAATTGTTTAACACAATATTAGATAAAATGGGACTATTCACCTACCCCTGAGAAAATGGGGGGGGGGGTGAAAAGACTGGGATAAACAAATAGGAATAGTTGAGTATTAAGAGTGATCTTAATAGGTCTAAACATTGGAACCCCACATCAGAAATGCTTATTTAGTGAATTCAGAATTGTTCTCTGACAAAATTATTTTTGGTTATTTATGTGTATGTAAAATATATGTTTTTTTCATTTTTTGTTCCATTTTTCTGTTGTGTTCTTGTAATAAATGGTTTGTAGTCTGAATTAAGGATTTTATTGGTAACTTGCATAAGACTTGTTTATTCAGTGTTTTATTTATTGTATGATTCTATTTTAAAATGTATGAAAAACAATTTGTTTTAATGGAATTGATTACCAATCCTAAATCACTGATATGTATAGTAAAAGTCATGGAGAGCTTATTGTATACTATCCTGAACATTAAAGTTTTTTTTCTTAGTTTCACTTCAAAAACTAAAGGATTTGATTAGGCTGCTTTCTATAATTTAGCAAACGTTATCATAAATATCCAGTTTATTTGATGAAATGTAATGAGTTGACCTCCATATGACTTTGAAATATATTTATCATTGTGGATCATCCAAATAGAAAATTAAACAAAAATCAATAAACCATGAAGCAAACCCTTGATTATATTCATTATCCTTTCTCTTGAACCAAGAGTGACTGGACTACTTGTAAAACTCATATGAATTGTTTAGCACAATATTGTGGATAACAAGGACCATTCCAGTTGTTCCTGCACATCTACTCCTGAGACAAATTAAACATTTTAAGTATACATGTAGAATTGTTTACAAACCTGTTTTATAATAAATTTATTTTGGTTTTTAGTATTTGTGTTTTGTTAGTACTTGTTTTAAGTTTAATAGTGCTTATGAGATTTTAGGTTATTTACACAAAAAGACAGTGTGCAAGTCAAAGGAGATCTTCATTTCTATAAGGTGCTTATTGGGAGTGTTTTACTGGTAATCGATTCTGTAATCGGAATCGGGCCAATTATTGCATAATTAGGCGACAATCTGAATCAATAGAATATGTTGAATTTCCCGATGATGTAAACTGATTGCTGAGAAATTAAAAATAACACCACCCATACCACTTTATTCACAACAATCTTCTGATTTGTAAGTATGCTTACGATTACGACCCTGTACGTTTTTGTCTTTCTTTCGACACGAAACATTATTCACCATAGAATAAATATCATCAGTTAAACAAGCTTTGCCTGTTTCTCATTTATTTACATAAGTTGATACACTGATCGAAAGAAAGTTAAAAAAAAAACAATGATCAGTACACTCATTTCTTTACAGACCGTACGTTAACAAATGATCGACAACAGCACCCTACTTATCGAGCCAATATACATTGTGTGCTTGCCGGAGTTCTACGCAGGCTTTTCCTGCGAAGTTCTCTGGGATGATATGCCATATGGTTCCCGTTAGTACAGCACTCTATATTAACTAATTGTATGGGGATGTTGCTGAAGAACGCACGAGTACAGAGCGATTGGAAATTTGGAATATCCCATTACTTTCCACAAGGGGCTTTTTTCAATTGTTTGAATTGTGCACGTCACTGTCAGAGATGTCACTATAAGTTAAAAGTGGTAAACAAATATATACAGCTATTTAAAAAATACCTAACCTATTGAACAGCTATGGAGCATTCCATTTCAACATTTGACAGTCCAGTTATTTATAACTATGCATAGCTCCAAGTAGTTACCTTAAATTTAGTTGTGGCTGATTGGTTGGATTGCTTCTGAATGATAAAAACTAGATACTTTGATTTTTTTTAGTTGGAAGCAAATGGTTATAAAACAAGAATCACTAAGATGGGCAATTGTCATAACTGACTGCCCATTGCACCTTTTGTTTTTAAGGTTGGAAAGTTGATTATTACATACGCAATAAAGATACACTTTGGAGCATTTGTTAATAAGGCCAGTTTAACACATTTGCTGCCACCAGTATTATTAATAATTCCTATCCTAGTGCCATTCAAGGGGTGCCAAAAAGTAGTCAGTGTCCCAACCTCACAAGCCACAAGGGAAATTTGGCTTTGAAGCATAATTGTCTGTGACCCATCAGTGTGTCACATGGTCCACTATTAAAAGTTGGTTGTGACCCACTGGTGGGGCACATGGCAGCAAACATGTTAAGAAAAAAATCTTTCGGTAGTGATAGCAAAAGTCTTCTAACTTATGGCTGAAATGAATGATGAATTTAGGTAATGAACCTCAACAATTTGTTTCGCTTACAAAGGTCACATAACATTATGTATCGATCACGTACTAGTCATGAGGTCAGTCCCCATTTTTATTTTACACTCGTTCAAATAAAAAATGGAAAAGAGATAGTGATTATTTTTTCCTGGCACATTTGTTGAAAACTTAAACTATTTCAAATTTAATGAAGCTTCAAAGTACATCCTCTGTTGTTATTACAATTTTTAATGTTAAACTGTCAACAATTATACATAATGACATCATCAGCTTCACTGTACACATTTGAAATTGGACCGATTGTAACATGATCAGTAAAACAGTATTTGTTAGACTTTATTTGGATTACTGTATTCACTTTTAATCACCTCAATTAAGATTGGATATTGAGTTGTTGAAGAAAGTTCATAGGAGAGCAACCAGGAGGATTGCAGGTATGGTAGGATTATTGTAAGGAGAATGGTTGAAATTTTAGTATGATTGAAGTTTTAAATATTGTTAGATGTTTATAATCCATAAATCAAGATGTGCATTTAGATAATAAGATGAGCATGCATTTTCAGGATAGACAAAACTGAGTATTGTTATAATAAATTAGTGACATTATGTGACTTGTAGCAATACAATGAATATTTCAGGATCAGTTTCTGGTAAGATTCAGTCCTTGGTAGTATCTGGATGTGACTCTGGAGATCGGTGTATACTGAAAAGTGGAAGCACTGTTTCCCTAAATGTATCTTTTAATTCATGTAAGTTTACAGACACATTGTTCTTATACATTTAACAAGGAATATATGATTGATTTTTCCAGTTACAACTTTTGGTGTTTTTGGAATGTTTTAAGTTGTATCTTCATTTGTAACATTTGTAGTTCTTTTATTTATTCGTGTTTAAAAAAAAATTCATGCACTAGCATTGCAATCTTAAATATATTTTGATCTCTAAGTTTGTTAAAATTGAAAATTAACATGTGTAACAAAGAACTAAAATTTAAAACATATGATCGTGTCATGTGTTTTTAAGTGTATGGGTATATTATTATTATTATTGAATGTATTTTTTTTTTACAAATTATCAATCAATGTATGTTTAATTCATAACTAGGATAGATGCTCTGATGAATCATCATTAAAGTAGTTGTCAGGTTATATCATGTGTATGGAAAAACGTATCATTCTGAAATTACTCATTTCACTAAAGACTCAACAGGGAAAGAAAACTATATAGTATTGAACTTCCTTTGGTCATTAAAAAATACATTATTGGTTTACAAGGTTCAAATAAGGTAACCAGTTATGCCATGATAAAAGGCTAACTTTACATTATCATAGAAATCATTTATTCTCAGTTCTGATTACTTTGCAGTTGTTTAAAACTACTTCTCAATTTTGTGTTATAAAGTATATTAGATATTACACTTTTATTTCTTGAGGAATGAAAACATTAAAGAGTCAACATGGTAAAATAATAGTTTTTGTTTTAGGTCTTTCATTTTTAGTCATAACTTCACAAGTATAATATTTTTTCATTGAAATAAGTATTTTAAATTATTTTTACTTTTTTTCTAAATTTCAAAACCAAATATTGTAGTGACAGATTCCAACAAAGTCATAACTGTCATCCATGGAGTTATTGGAGGGGTACCTCTACCCTTCCCAGTCCCTAACCCCAATGCCTGTCAGTCATCTGGTCTCCAGTGTCCTGTAAAGAATGGGAAATTATATGATTTTTCATATTCTCTCGAGGTGAAGAAATCATATCCAAAAGTAAGTATAGGCATAATATGAACATCAATACATGTTTGATTTAAACAAAAGCTGATTTAAAATTATTGACATTGATTTTTAAGCCTATTACTTTACTAAGGGGTGACATACATAAAATATAATACAGGGGAAACATTGTTTAAAAATGTCAGAATAACAGTTTAATTGACAATTGCCAAAATTAGTTGACTGTCTAGTGGTATAAGCATGTGGTTCTCAACCTTTTTTCCCCCTCAAAAACCTATTCATGGACCCAAGACAATTTGTGTGACCATGTACTCTAATAGGGGGCATTGCAAACTGCGATGGGGTGTGCATGCTAAATATAGTACTTGTGAAGTTCTATTTTTCATATGTAATTTGTTTATTTCAATGCTAATAAGTGTTTTTTTTTTTTCAAATCAAAATTATGGTAATAAAAGTAGATTACATGTTTTATTACTATTGCTGCCACACAAGGTAAGCCTTATAAAAAAATAACATGGGGACAATAGTTAGAGAGAGGACATTAACTAGGGACAATACAGTAGGTCTATTTGTAGAAGTTGATCCTACAGATTATAAAATTAGCACTGACATAAGTATGTAAGTTAATGAAACTTTCAAATAAAACATTATTTTCATTTAATTAAATTTAGTAGCACTTTTTTATTTAACTATAATATGGAAACTATCTTTACTTAAGTGTCTGCAAGCCACAGGTTGGAAATCATGTCTATAAATGCAAGTGGGAAAGTTGTGTATTAAAATTATTTTATATAGTCTGAACTCTACAATATGATCTAAATTGCAGAGAAATGTCATGTGACTGCTGATGTCAACAAAAGAAGTACTGTTTTTTCATTGCTTCAGAGAAATCAATTGCATATAGTACATGCAAAGTAATCTATTTACTAGCATTTTGTACTCATTGATTAATATTTGCAATTAATCATGTGATATGAAAAGTCCAAATATACACTAGGAATGTGTGGGTATTTGCATACTTTTAAGGAATTTAGATATTAAAAACTTCAACTTTGTATTTTGCCAATAAATTCTGAAGTGCCAACTTTTTGAAACATATTTTTTTTTATCTAGTTTTATTACTGGAAATGAAATTAGATCAATAACTGCTACATTATTACAAATTTAAAGTCATGCATTAATATATTGAATTATTCTTCATGTGCATTTCTTAGGAATCATGACTTGGAAGTGTATTTGCAAGATTTGTTAGGGTTTTGTGAATAAGTAACAGCAATAATTTTCCTTAGTTTAATTCTAAATGATTTTAACTCAAGTTTTGAATCTTTTATAGTTGGATGTTGATGTCAAATGGGAACTACAGGATGACAATGGAAAAGATATCATTTGTGCTACAGTCCCAGCAAAGATAGAGTAACATTTTGGAAGCATCTATTTGAGATATAAGTAGATTATACATAATATAATTATAAATAGTTGCAATATGTATAATGCTAATTGTTAATCCAACTCCATAATATATTTTTGGACCATGATTGAAATAAATGTGTATTTTTCATCTTTGTTACGACAGTTGTTGTTGTTTTATTTATATATACCATAACTGAAATGCACACACGGATAACTTTAATGATATCTACCCAAGAGTTGAATGGAGTTTGTAGTTAATCTCTTATCTAATAAAGATGTCATTTTAACAATAAGTGGAGAAAGAAAATTACTCGTTCATATGAAAACTATTTCAAGTGGTAAAAAAGAACTGAAATACACTTCTCTTAGTGTTATCAGTTCTCTGTAATGGCAAATCATTGATTTATTACAAACCCATGATATTGGATTTATATTAAAGCATTTCTTGGTTATCTTTATTAACTGAAAGTTAATCTTGTCAAATGAGAAATTTAATCTTTGTGAATAAATATCTGATCATTTATCATATTCTAAAACAACCATCAGTCAGATCTTTGAGCCAGTGTTGTATTTAATCATCTTGAATAAATATCTGATCATTTATCTTTTAAACACCCTCAGTCAGATATTTGAGCCAGTGTTGTATTTAATCATCTTGAATAAATATCTGATCATTTATCTTTTAAACAACACACTCAGTCAGACCTTTGAGCCAGTGTTGTATTTCTGACTCGTGCAATTGAAAAAAAAAGCTGAAGTGTGGTTTTTATTAATAACATGTTGTATAATAAAAACAACACTTCAGCTTTTTTTGTAAACCATGGTGTATGTCTGAGCATTCATCTTTCTACTGTTTACCAAGGCTGCTTCCTGCTCTGCATTTGTAAAGCTGTGCATGCAGGCAGACCCCAATATTAACTTTTGAAATGACAGGAGAACCGGTATGAATAATGTTCATGCCAAATTTTATTTTACAAGCAGGATATTCTTCATTAAATTGTTAGGAAATAATCACTTTATCTTTCACATTTCAAAATGTGATGTAACTTAGAGAATAAAAACGTAGATTTACCATATGTTATTGTTGAGCGGCGCTTAGTGTGACAGAAATGCCGAACAATTACTTTTCGTGGTGGGCGGTATATGTAGCTCAGAGCTTTGGCTCCAAGTGAAACCAAGAGTGCAACACAATTAACCTTTCTAAAATCAATGAAGTAACTTAACTTGATAGACTAAACTTTTCCCATCACTGAGGAAAGGACTGTTATGCCCACATAGTTTTTGTATAGGTTTGCACAAAATACTGTAACAAACTTTTTCAACCCGAGATAAAACGTGCGCATATTCAGAATTTATCAAAATTATTATTTTGAAACTAGAAAACAAATATTAAGAACAAAATCGTTGAACTTTTGATAATATTTAAAAACAAGGACGAGCGGAATGATTGTTTGTTTGAAGTTAAGCACAATGGACTATGTGTTCTGCCCATCACGGGTATCGAAACCTGGTTTCTAGTGTTGTAAGTCCGCCACTGGAGGGCGAGCATCTAGTGTGTATAATCAAATCTTGGTGGTTGTTTTTATGCAAAATTCTACCATTAATGATCTTGAAACAAAGACAAGTTGTCGATAATGAAAAATTACTGAAAAAAAATTCCTTTTAGTTTCTTTGTATAAAGTTCTTATTCAAATTATATACAGAAGTTTATTTATTATTAAGCACAAGGTACACAATGGGCTATCTGTGCTCTGAACCACCAGGGTGGAGCAGCATTTACGTTTTTTGTTTATTGTTCAGCACAAAACTACAAGATGGGTTATCCATGATGTGCACACAACAGGTATCGAAACACTGTTTGTAGAGTTATAAGCCTTCAGACCTATCATTGAGCTACTAGTGAGGTGGCATTTACAGTAAAAGTGGTAGAAGTTTATAAATAAATTTTTAAAAGTATAATACAAATATAATTATATGTATAAGAAGCTAATGTAGGTATGTCCACAAAACTCCTCCCACAGTTTAAGACTGATTTGTCACAATTGGGTCTCTTAGAAAGAAGTTTATTTAGTGTATGTGTCCACTATTTTTTAAGAAATAAGTCAATAACAGCTTTATATCACACCAAAATGAAAAATGTTATAAAATAGACAATCAATGAAAAATTTTAAAAATAATGGGACCTTATTTTATAACATTTTTTCCTTAATGGAGAAATGTTACTTTTCATTTTAATAATGTACATTAATGTTGTACATTTGTTATTATCAACGAAATTAATCTTTTTAATAAAACTTCTGAAATTGTGGTGAGTTGAGTAATGCAGAATTTCAAAGTGAGTCTTCCTAGTGGAGAATCATCGTGATATTTCAGAAGAAAACTGAATTTTTTTCTGCTAGAGAATCCAAACATACACTATGAATTTAATTGTTCTTTGACCGAAGGAATCGTAAGTCCTTCGTACAGAGTTCGTTGCATACAAATTTGCAGGAGTTTTGTAGTAATTTGGCCTTCGTAAGTTACACAAGTATTTTTTTACTTCATTATCAGTATAAAGTGATAAAAAACATGAAAAATCAAGATGCAAAAACTTGTCAAACGGAAAAGTGACTGATCACAGAGAAAGTCTGAAACAAAATGAAACGTCAGGATGAAAGTCCCAACAAGAGAAAGACAGGCTTACTCACCAAGTTATGAGGAAATATCCAGTGAAAAGCGATCAGGGGCAATTTCGTGACAGAGAAGCACACCGTTCAGCTCACCAAGATCCTGACCGAACAGCCACACATAGGGCGACATTTCTGCTAGTATAAAAAAAAGCCCCCCAGTGGCACAGCTCTATGTCTGTGGATTTATAATGCTAGAAACCTGGTTTCGATACCCGTGGTGGGCAAAGCACATTGTGAAGCTTTGTTCTTAACTACAAACAAACCAACATAGTGTAAAAATATTACAAAACTATTAAAAACTGTTAATTTAAAATGGGGAATAGGGATCATCACAAAATGCAGAAAAAAGATAGGTAGCTTAAAGTGAAAATGTAATCGCCAAAAAAGTAAACAAGCAAGCTTAAGGTTTAAGACATAGTGTTGATATTATTTCCTCAAGCTACAAATCCCTATTTTGACTCCATGTCTAAAAGCCTCACTTTCGCCTAGAACTGTCATCTCCTGCGTGCACGATTCTTGCCACTCCTTATAGTCAGCTTCAAGGATGGCTACTGTAGCTGCAGTATCTATAGAATTCGCAGTCACGCAGTGTTAGCTATTATTCAACATTTACCGTCAACCATCACCGTGATTGCCGATCCTATGCTCGCAACTGAGCTTGGTGCTATCTTTTAAACTACGGCTCAAAAATTTCTCTTGTGGGAGACAGCCTAGACGTTTGTAAAACATGGACCAAATCGATCAAGCAGTGGACAAAAAAAAAAAACAAAAAAAAATCTGTGATTTTGTCAGCAACGTCGTTTCTGAAAGGACAAGAACCTTATTCATATAAACAAATGATACGTGACATCAATACAGTTTAGTGTTGTGGTCGAGACCTCCGTGTCCCAGACCGAGACCTTGTAATAAATTACCCAATGAAAAATATAACAAGAAGAATAAAAATCACATGCGTCAAACAAACTTTATTAACATCTTAACTGCAAATCTTTTAGATGTTAACCCCACAGACTTTGTTTTAACGTCTTCTCATATGAAAGAAAAAACAATGAAAAAAAAGGACAACATATACAAACAAAAGAAAAACCTGCTTTTCAAGAGTTTATGGTGTCAGTGACTTCTTTATGACCTTTGAAGCCAAACAGGATTACAGCAGATCTATTAAACACGTTAAATATTAGGGATAATCGCTAACGTTTAACGTAAATACGTGCATCGGATGTATGGTATAGCGCAATGTATAGTAGGAATTATTTTTTATTAGCGCATGTTATAACTGTGGATTGAAGTACATGTAATACGGCAATTGGTGACGTAAGCAAAAATAAGGGAGGCACTATACATATTGTTGCGTCATCGGGATCACGTGACTATTCTCACGCCCTCTAGTTTCAAGAACTATCTTGTTCCTTCATGAATGCCCTAGTATTTACTAGATATAGGGTAGTTTGGTATATATAAGAGGGTGACAATAATGTGTGTGTAGATAGTGAGTAATTGAAATGCAGTCACAGGGTATTGTTGAAGTTAACGTTCGTTCGTTATAGTGTTTGTTTTAGCGCGAATATTGAAATTAAGTGTATTGTAAAGTTATATTCGGAAAGCATAAACCAGTTTTATTAAGTAAGGACTTGTGTCGCTAAAGTTTCGTCGGAACGAAGTTACAGAAAGTTAATTAACAAACGGAGACGTAATAAATTGGTGTCAAAAGTGGGATAAAAAAAATGGAGACGAGAAGCGGCAAATCAAACTACAGCTTAGCAGACTTGATGACAGCAATACAAGAGCAGCAAAAGAAACAAGAAGAACGAGAAAAGAAACAAGAAGAGAGACAACAGCGGTTGCAAGAAAACCTACAACAGTGGCAAGAAAACCTGCAACAGTGGCAGCTCGAACAACAAAATAAACAAGAAGAGAAATTACAGCAGTTGTTAGAGGAGAAAGAAAATAAACAAGAAGAAAAATTACAGCAGTGGCATCTGGAACAAGAAAGGAAACAGGAAAAAAGTCTCCAACAGTTGCAGGAAAGCCAGCAGCAACTACAGGAAGGTCAACAACAGTGGCAAGAAGTACAAATGGAAAACATTAGTAAATTTAAAAGTGAATTAGATACGTTAAAGGACGATCTATTGTCTTTCACACAAGGAGGATACATTGACCATCGACTTAATCAGCCCCAGACAATGGCAAGCCCCTTACAGAACCCGCAGCTAAACCCTAATGCAGACATATTCAGTTCCATTAGAAGTCACATCCCAGATATGAATGTCAGTACAAGGAGTGATCCAGTATGAAGGAAGCCACAGGAATTCGATGGGAAAGCACCGTGGGAAGCATATAGAGCACAGTTTGAGCTACTGGCAGAAATGAATGGAGGAGCAGAAAGCAGTATA